TGAACCCAATTCCTAAAAGTAAAAACACAAATTCATAATAAAAAATGTGTGCATACTGTTCTGGGGGACTTCCAACATTTGCAGGTAGAATAAGAGAGAAGGAAAAAGCAGCCTTCCTGGACACCCCACTAGAAGCTGGTGCAGGTGACCAAGCCTGCAGAAATCCTTCCTCTGCACTTGGGAAGAATGACTAAGAGAAATGGAGTCAAGAGTCAGGAGGGACTTACTGATCCAGATTTTCAAAGAACTGGGGTACTCTAGGGAATCATATCTAGCTGACTAGATCATAGAGGCCTCCAAAAATGGCATGGTTGGTTAGAAAAGGTACCTGGGAAATAAATGTATAGGTTAAAAAAAAAAAAAAAAGTACGCTAAGATGTTAGCCAAGGGAACCTTGGCTCCCTACAACCACTGGATTTTACTTACTTCAGGAAGTAAGAGAGACATGATGCAGATTTCTGAAGAGAATGTGTGTCCCGAGCTGTGGTTTAGGAAGACTAATCTTCAGGATTTCAGGTGTGTAAGAGGCCAGGGAAGACCAGGAGTTTATTGCAGTCAGTTTTTATATTGTTCAAATACATTCTATTTATTGTGCCCACACACACACATACCCACTATTTGACAAAGAGCCAGGCTTTTAGTAAGCATTTGGTAGCACTTGCTGAATTGAAAGCCATAAATTCACCGAGGGTCCCCTTGTAATATCCCTATTGCTCGCCAGGTGGCACCATGACAGCCCCATTTACAAAGCAGACTTCCTTCTCTAAGGACAGTGCTTCCAAGCAGAAAGGCTGTGTTTCTGTGAGGGAATCCACCTTCCGGGGACAACATAGAAGCTGGGAGAAAATGGTAGTTGGGATAAAAGATTCAAGATTACTCCTTTTGTACTTCTATATCATTTCTTACTGTCACACAGTATCTTGGCTGAATTTCTATCCCTAGGCATGTACATGTGGAAAGATGCCTAGGAAAACCCTCCTTTTCAAAGATACAAGCAGTTTTTTATCTTGCAGGAAGTATAAAATTACAAAAATTGGGGGAAGAACTGTTCCTTAGTTCTGGGAAAACTTCTAGGTGAACCATTTCATTACACATGTGAAGCAGAGAGACCATAGTCTTTAGTGAGACTGAGGCCACATAAAAATGCATATTTATGTTAGACGCCATTTTGCCTCTCTTATAAAAATAGTTATTTCTCTAGAACAGATTTTACTTGTACCAGGCTAAAGTTGTAGCGTATTTCTCTGAAGTTGTATGTCTTTTCATTTTGAGTTTAAGAGCTAACCCTGAGAGATTTCCCTTAGACTGATGAGAGGCAGAGAAGTGCCAGAAATGAAAAGAGTTATGACAAGTCACATGCAGTGTTAAATGAGGCCCAGACATAAAGTGCAGTGCAAAACTTTGGGGGTGCGGGGTTCATCTCCTCACACTTATGCATCAACAGTGCTCTGGCAAATTCCCAAGTACGAGAAGACTTGGAAATGATGGGGGACAGGATTATTAGCATATTTTAATGGGCGTCAATATAATTTGAATGTGTTGAATAGGTGGTGAATAAACAGATTGATGTGAAGACTTAAATTCACCGTAGGAAGTGTTTAGGAGGCCCCGGGAGGCAGGGGTGCCATAGGGCTGCCAGCCAGCACCAGCTCAGCAGGGTCATCTCTTGCTCGGTATTCAAGTTAAAAAGTCTCATTACTCTTTAGCTCAGTGGTTCTTTTTTACTTAATTCTTACCTTTAAGCATTAAGTTGAAACAACAGACATCTCTAGAGAATGTTCACACTTCTATAATTTTGCATTCAATTTCCAGAGGCTATGGCCCCCTGAAGTTCAATAACGACCCTGTCCCTGAGTCCCAGGTTAGGAATCTCACCTGAAACTCGCTATCTTGAGGTGACTGGGTGACGGGCACTGAGGGGGGCACTTGACGGGATGAGCACTGGGTGTTATGATATATGTTGGCATATCGAACTCCAATAAAAACATACACCAAAAAAAAAAAACTCTCACTCATCAGGAGCATCCTAAAGGAGAAATGAAAGAGGATATGGAAGAGGGAGAAATAAGGTGGTGGGACACCAACCTGTGCTGGCCCCCTAGGAAATGCTGGTGAAGGTAACTTTAAAGAGCTGAAAAATTGCTTTTTCTGGGGATATTTTTATCTGGACTTGAGAGGAATAGCTAGAGAACTTCTGGAAGGACCTAAGCTAAGGGACTCGTGACATATTTAGGACAAGGTGCATAGGAAGGGGAACTGAAATGGAGCCGAAGGGTAAAGAGCTCAACCAAACCTTTCTATAGAGGCTACAGGGCTTAGCTGCCTTGGGATTCATGTCAGACTCTGCAGAAACTGAGCTGTAGGGAGCAGGAAAGAGGCACGACGATGGAGCTGTGTTGGGGAACATCTGGGGGCAGTCGCTTCTTCCTCTCGAGAAGTAGATCTAGGAGGCTGTCTTCTCGGGGCCATTATTATATTATCATCCTCTAGACTTTGATAAGGGCCAATAACAGAACCTTGAAGTGGAATTTCTTGTTCTAAGGATGAAAAGGGACTAAAGCTAATGTCATTTCCTTTTCAGGACTCTTAGACGCTTGACTAGGGAAATAAGGGAACTGAGGGTCTAAATAATTGAGCAGTTAGCACAGCAGTTCCAATTTCAGGTTCTTTAAGTCAGAAGACCTGGGTTTAAGTCCTGTTTCTGCCAAGTACTAGCTGTGTGACCTTGAGAAAGTCTTGGCGGCTGTTTCTGGAACTGTTAACTGAAAATAAAAATAGTGCTTTCTTCTCATTGGAGGAAAAAATTGGACAGTGTCTGGCACATGGTAAGTGCTCAGTAAATGATAGCTATCATTGTTATGGGTGCTGAATGCTGGAATTATAACGGGAAACTATCTCCCAGCCTTTGGGGATACTTCCCCACAAATATACTTTAGCTGTCCTCTCTGGGACCCAGCACACATTCCCCAACCACTGCACAACCCAGAACTTCCTCTCATCATCCTATACAGGGCTAGTCCCCAAGACCTTTTTGGCCCATAACTTCACAACATCTATGATGAAAAGCACCTTGGGAATCTCGTCATTCTTCCTTTATTTGACTATCCTGAAGGTTAAGAGTTCTTTAGACAGGGAAGGATTATATATAAAAAGAGAGCTTCTAGAACCTTCATTAGGTAGTTTTGTTTTCCCAGAGGAGCCAGTCACTACCATCATCACCCTATCCCAAGAGAACTAACCATTAAAAGAACTAACATTTGCACAAGAGTTACTACAGGTCTTAGATATTTTTATCCCCAACAACTTCTTGTCCCCATTTTACACCTGCAGAAATTAAGTCTCCAGCAGCAAACCAAGTCTCAGTCATTCAGTGTTGGAACTGAGATTCAAACCCAGATCTGTGATTCCAATGCTCTTTCAAGCCTCTCCACAGGCACGCGTGCTCACACACACACACACACACACACACACACACACACACGCATATGCATACACCACAGCACTCCAGCACATTCTTCTCCCCAATTTGTTTGGGGCAGCCTTAGGAAATTCCATGGCCCAAGGGAGCAGACTAGAGCCGATGTCAGTCTGAGCTCCACAGGGAATACCTTACTGGCATTCTCCACTAGGGGCTTGAGGCAGTTATTGTGCTTTCTTTTGTGATGTGTCACTCTCCTCTCAGAGATCCTGGGCAATCCCTCTGGAACAATACCCACGATACCCCACCCCTAACCCTCCCATGGAACAGGTGTCATGCCTGCCATTCCTGGACTCGGATTTCAAAGTCATTTCTCAGGGAGGGAGCAGGCGCTTCACTGAAAAGAAGTCACTTGCACACCTGGAGTTCTGCTACTAAAAGCCCTGGTTAGTTTGGGAGACTCAACATATACCCTTTCCTTCCCCCGTCCAGCTTGAGTTCAGAGTCCAGGATGGAAGGGAAAGGAGGCAGAGCTGGCGACGCGTGTCCCAACCAGGGCAGGGTCAGCCAACTCCTTGGAACTGGAGGCAAGGAGAGAGGAGGGAAGGCGTGGTCCCTGCAGTCCCCCCTAAGCCCCGGTCCATGTAGCATGTAGCGGGCCCAGAAGCCCCACCCTGACATACCCCTGGTACCAGTCAGCAAGGAGGGGAGATGACGCCTCTTTATTAAGGTTAACACCAAGGAAAGCATTGAGAAGGAATACACAGCGGAGGAGAAAGGGCACACAAAGTCACTACTTGAAGAGGTGGGAGGGAGGCACATCAGTTAAGAACCTCAGGACAGCCACATGCTCCATGCCCTGGTTGTGGGGAAAAGAGGAAAGGACAGGGGAAAGCGCCATGATAGCCTGGGGCTCACAGAAGGATCTGAAGCCCCCTGAACCTAACACCAGAGCCACAAGCCCTGCCCCTCAGGGCTCACACACTACTACACAAGTCGACACACATAGCACACACAAGACATTATGGAGGCAACACCGAGAGGCAGCGGGCAGGGACGGATCGACAGGAAAAGGAACTGAAGTTAAGCGGGTGTGTAGCCAGGAGAGAGACAGTTTTTGGCTGCGGCCCCCAAGAGTCCCTCAAACGTCCCCTAAATCTGGGCTGCTGCCGAGCACCCCAAGTCTCTGCCTGTGTACTGGGCTCTTTGTTCTCTAAGCCCCAGTGAGTGGATAAAGCAATCCCAGATGAAGTCAGTGACAAGGCAGGATCCGCTCTGCATGCAAAAATCCTAGAGGTTGAGCTATTATGTCTTCATGCACATTCATAGCCAGCTCCTCCCAGCCCGGGGGGCCCGCGGAACCCCATTCACCCAGATTCCTAGGGCTGCAGTTCCCTCCTCAAGCTTCCTTTACCAATCAGCAGCCGCAGAGATCTGTGAGGGGGAGAGGCTTCTGCAGAGCGCTGAATATCTTGGATTTCAGCAGAAGGGTATATTTTCTGTTGCCAGAACAGAATACCCCCAATTCCTTAGTTTCTAGGTAAATCGTTAGAGATTATTTGCCATAGTCCTAGATAAGTCCTTTTTCAGAATAGAAAAAGCAGAATTTTATTTACACAATTCAGGGGTTCTCCTGTTGGCTGGGGAGGGGGAATGGGCAGGGTAGGGGATGGATGGGAGTCCAGAGATGGGCGCTTCCTCTCCCGGAACCTCACCTTTCGGCCGTTTGCTAGGTCTCCCCTGGTTAGGCAGAAAGAGTTCTTGACGCTCCCAAGGTCCTTCTCCCTATGCATCCTTCCTCGAGGCGGTCTCTCCGCCCGACCCACGAGAGCAGCGGTCGGAGGGAAGCATGCTGCACCGCGCCGTCCAGTCCCCTCCAGTCCCCTCGCGTCATGCACTCGGAAACCCAAAGCCAGCCCGGGAAAGTGGCGCCCCCTCGGAGTCCCCTCACACAGAGGCCTCGCCCTCCAGCTGCAGCAGGGTAATGTCGGGCGGGTCGAGGGGCTCCACAAGTGGCCCGTCCCCCCCAACGAGACCGGCACAGGGGCTCTCGGGGCGCTCACAGTGACTCGTGGGTGTGGCGGAGCCGGGCGTCTCCTTCTCCTCTTCTTCATCGTCGTCCTCGTCCTCGGGATCGCGACCCAGCAAGCCGCTGTCCCCGATCGCAGGCGAAGGGGTCTCCGGCTCTCGCGGGGTACCCGGGAAGCTCCCCTTGCCGCCGACCACGCCCAGGCCGCCCTGGCGGGGCGCCGTGGTCATGATCTGGCACATGGAGACGATGGCCCGCTGGTTGGCGCACACGTCGTCCGAGAGCACCTGGATGTGCGAGGCCTGCTCGTCCAGGGCCCCCCGCATGGCCCTCACGTCCTCGAACAGGGCCTGCAGCTGGGCCTTCAGGTGCTCCATCAGTTCCTTCATGCCGCCGTTGTACTCCGCGGAGATCACGTCCCCCACGGCCGGCACGGTGGACACCTCCAGAGGTGCCGGCATGTCGCCGCCGTCCTTGGTCATGATCTCCAGCGGACCGTCCTCCATTGAACGGCAGCAGCGGGCGGGGGCGGCTCTGGGTCCGGTCCAGCCCGGCCCCCGGGTCGGGGTCGGGGTCGGGGTCGGGGTCGGGGGTGGGGGAGGGAGGGACGGGGAAGGGGGAGAGGTCCCCGGGGGGGGGTGGCGGGGAGGGGCCGAGGGAAGAGGAGGCTCCCGAGAGGGGCGGGGAGCCGACGGGAGAGGCGAGTCCCGAGCCGAGCGAGGGCGCCGGCACGGTCGGAGGAGGCCGGGAGGGGCCGGCGGGACGCGGACCCTCCGCCTTGCCCCGGGGCCCGGGCGCCCGCCCCCGCCTGGCCTCCCGGACTGCGCCCGGGTCAGCGCCGCCCTCCGGGCGCCACGAGCGGCGAGTGCCCGCGGGCTCTCGGGGTCCCCGAGGCGCTCGCGGAGGCCGGCGGCGGCGACCGCTCGGGACTACCCGGGCCGGGAACCGGCAGCGCCCGCGAGCGTGCCTGGAGTGGCAGGGGCGGGCCTCCCAGCCGCGCCGCGGATGCGCCCCTGTTTCCAAGGCGACGCACGGCACGTAAATGACGTGTGTCTCCATGGCCACCGGGCAGTGGCGGCGAGCGGGGAGCGCGGCGGCGAAGCTGCAGTGGGGCGGGCGGGGAGGGGGCGCCGCGGGGGCCTCCGCCGGGGGGAGGCGCGAGCGGCCGTTTCCTGAGGGAGCGCGGCACGGACCTCCAGGTCACCGAGACGTCGTCCTTCCTCGGCGCCCGCCGCCTTGGGAGCCCCCCCCCCCCCAGGCCTCCCTTCGGCCCGAGGATGGCGCCAGCGCCGGGCCTCGCCGCTCTGCCCTCGGCCGCGCGCACGAAGGCGAGGGACCCGGAGGCGCCCGGGAGCCCGCCCCGCCCGGCCTCGCCTCTCGCTCGGGCCTCTGCAGCCCCCCCCCCCCCCCCCCCCCCGCCGCAGGCCGCGCGGGAGCGGAGGAAGCGCGCGACTCCCTCCCAGCTGAGCCAGCCGCTGCCGCCCGGGGCGCTGGGAGGCCTTCCGGCCCGAGGAGGCCCAGCCCTTCAGGCCCGAGGACGGAAGCTCCCTAAGGTGCGGGCATCCGCGGCTCCCCGCCCCCAATCCCGGAGTCCCCGGCACCTAAAATCGTGCCTGGCGCGTAGTAAGTAAACGCTCTCTGTGTTCGTTGGATGAACCCGTGGCCAGAACCGCGGTGCGCGCCGGGTCCCTCATCCAGAGCTCTGCAGCCCACACACAGCCGAGTTCAGGGGACCTGAATCCGATTTTGTTCCTGCCTTTTAATTCAGAGACCTTGGATATCGCTTCTCTCGGCCTTTTGGCCGGAAGACCAAGTGCGGAGACCTTGGATGAATGATTTTCCTCATCTGTTAGGGGATTGGATTGAATGATCTACGATATTATCTCTAACCCTGACACTGCATCAGCTCACGGGTGAAAGGGATGGATGGGGACAGTGCGTGTGAGGGCAGTCCCCCCGCCCCCCGCCCCCCACCCACCCCAGGGCCCAGTGTCCTTGCACAGACACCCTCAAGTGCCTCACAGAAGTGACGACTTTCCCTCTTTGAGGAGCGGAGTGGGAAAGGGGAGGGGGAAGAAACTGTGAATTTAATATGTTTACAGATCCGACTTGAGACTGAGAAGCAGAAGCACCTGGGCAGCAGCACGCTCACTAGTAATGACCCTAGCAAATTGGGAGGAGCCAGGTGGTCAGGAGCTAAAAATGAATTTCGTACGAGGAAATAAATCTAAAGAGGAGAAACAAACTGGACCACTTCAAGGTGGGGAAGAGCTAGATCTGCGTGAAACGTTTTGTACCCTAGTAGTTCAGCAATAGCCGACTTGTTACCTTGGGATTTCCCCGGTCGTGTACTCTAGTAAGGAAGAGTGGGGCTGGCCCAGAGAAACTTTTGCAGCACTATTAGCACTAAAGAACTGTTTGGTTTATGTCTGTTCTACTATTATTAAAACAGAAATTAGTGGGGAGGTAACCTAAATAGCAGAAAGTTTAACCTAAGGGATGGCTGAAATTATAAAGTATTATTTGCAGCCATTAGAAATTTGATTTCCCAGAACGACTATGTGAACAGATTAAAAACCCTGCAGTATGATATTTTCTAAAACAAAATGATTCGATCCCATTTGCTTGCTCATTCCTTTCTTTACTCCACAAACTTGTGGTGCTCTGTTCCCCATGGCGTTATTCCTAAAGCTCAGGAGAAGACAGAAATGCTTTTCCTTGGTTTTCCTAAGCACAGCTGAAGTGGGCTGGTATTTACAAAAAGTCTTTACAAGAAAAATATAGGAAAACTAGAAATGGAGACAAGACACACATACACACACAGCTGAGCTTACACGGTGTAATTTCCTCATCATACTATAGAAAGCATCTTCTCAGGGCATATGGGTTTGACCCTGTAGTTCATCCTTCCTTGGAGAGTTCTGCTATAGCCAGAGAAGACAGGACTTTGGGCTTTTTGCCTGGGTCTGTTACTTCACATTCTTGACCAGTATTGCAGATGGTTGATTTCATCTTGCCAGTTATCTCACCCGTCAAGTGGGTCCCTGCCTTTATCCATAAAAATGACCCTGTCCCTAATACAGGGCTTCCCATCTTAGTCTTACTCTTACATTAAACATGGTCCCCGTACAGTAGGAGCTGGGTTATGTCATCATACAGGGCTTTTTGCCACTATTGTTGAGGATACCATGTATGTCAAGGCTTTCAGCATAAGATCACATTATGCTGCCCAGAGGTGCTAGGAGGAAGTCTGCTGAGAGTACAGGGGGTCTGAGCTTAGAGGGAAGGAAAATCTTGGAGAAGCACGAAAGAACATGGGATACAGGTGCAGAGATCAAGTGGTGTGGCTGAACCAGTCAAGTTCCAGGTCAGACTTACGAGAACCGAGGGTAGGTGGGACCTGGGGGAGTAGACTAGTAGCAGGACTTGAAAATGTGAGGAGGAGACTATTGGTGCATCAGGTTCAGAGCCAGATCATTTTAGGAATTCTGTGTGGAAATGGGACTAGGGAAAATAGGAGGGTCTAGCCTCTGAAAAATAAAGGGGACAGATACAGGGAGCAAAGAAGCCTCCGTCAGCTGGCCAGGTTTCAGGGCTGGGATCTCTGGACACCAGTGCCCTAGGATTTATTGAATGGATCTATTCCCAAACAAAAGGGGGCTGAATGGGTACTCTGGCCACATCATTAGCGTATTTGCACATAGCATGTATGCCATATAGCAAGAATAAAACAATCCCTTCTGCTCCTTGCTCTTATCTTCAGGGAACTGCTCCAGCTGGTCTATTCCTTCATTCCAGTCTCATGAGCCAATGTGGGGAAGAGACTCCATAGTGTACAGATACAGATTTCTGTCAGGCACACCTAGTTCTAACCATCACATTCTCACTAGAATTGTGACTCTTAGAAGTTTCTGCTCTTTTCCTCTCTGGCGTCCAGTTTCTCTCCAGTCTGTCTTTTATATAGTTAGTGTACTTTTTGCACTATATAAATCCAACAGCCAGGATGAAGATGCTGCCTTGACCCAGATGGAGAGTGATGATCAAAATCAAGGTGGAGCTGACTGCTACGTCCAACCATCCCAGAGAGTTCTGTCCAGATGTAACTTTTACGGCATGGAGTTACCTTGAAGCCCATCCCATCATGATGTCACATTCCAAAGAAACACATCCAACAGCCCAAAAGAATTTAAAAGCACTTTATTTTTATTATAATCTCTGGGAAAACTCTAAAGGAATTCACATTCTCAGCACAGAGCAAAACATCTTAAACTTTTCTTCCCTCCTCCTCTCCTCATCTCACACATCCTGACAGAGCTGTAGCTGCCATTCTCTCTCCTTTCACTGCAGACACTCCCATACTTTCTCTCAAGCCTGGCCCTTGCTTTCTCACTCGCCTGCTTACTTCACCTCTTGGATGTATTGGATGTATTCTTTTTTTTTTTTTTCTTTTTTTCTGAGAAGGAACTTTTGTCCTTGTTTCAGCATCTTTGATTTTGCCCTCCGTTCTGCACTGGTAGTGAGAGCACCAACTGTCATAGGCAGGGGTCTTTTTCTAGAGGTTCAAGAGAGACTGAGAATACTCACTGTTGTAGGTTCGGTCTGTCTCATTGACTAAATATTCTCATCATGAGAGGGTGCTTTGCCTGGTATTACAGACAACCTGTTTGCTCATTTCCTCTACCCTTGTACAGAGAAGTGGACATGGTAGTTTGCAAGGACCCTGAACCATTATGAGCCTCTAGCTGGAGAGGGTGTCCAACTGTCCACAGTCTCCAGAGTACCGTTGTCACAGACATGGCCATGAAGTCACACACACACACACACACACACACACACACACACACACACACACACTTGAGCCCGAGCAAGACTTTCAGTTGCTTTGTCTGTGCCCTCAAATCATTTTTAGGAGTATTAAAAAAGGCCATTCCCCCCACATTTCTTTCTCTTCCATATTAACTTTACTCAAAGCGAGAATTCCTTCTTACGCAGTCTGAATTTCCACTGAAAATCACCTGTCATTCCAATTAAACCTGTCGTGCTGGTGTTCACCCTATCTCCCCTTTCTGCATGACTTGTGTCAGCACTTGCAGAGGCTTTTTTTCCTCAGTGTACATTCAATCATTTATCCTGTGCTACTCTGACAGGGCTAGTTCCAGTCCAAGTGTTGCTGGGTAGTTGGCAACAGACTGGCATTTGGAGCTCGGGAGCCAACTGTGATGCCTGTAACAGGGCCTCATGTACCTTCCATCTTTTCTATATATTTTTGTGCCCCCGCCCCCCTGGCCCAGAAAGTTGCCATCAGCTCAGGGACTGGTTTGGCCCCAAGTCCCAACCCTCATCAGGCACTGATAATGCTTTACCACTGAAGGCCACTCACAATTTTTGGTTCCATGGGACAATTTTGCTCGACAAATTGCCTCTCCCAGAGAGTATCAGTCCGATTTGGAGGAAATTATGTCCCAAGTATCTGGACAGGGCACAGACTCTGGTATGTCTGCCCTTCCACTTATTTTATTTTATTTTTTATAAATT